TATAGCAGCATATAGCACATGACTGTTTGGAGATCCTCTGCATTGTGCACTTGACATTTGTTGTATTATACTGTTAAACCATCACTACATAGTGCCAGAGGTGGTGTAAGTATGCTAGCTGGTGAGTGTCAGAAGATGGCTATCATATAAGATACATGTAGCAAGGACCGCAGGGTATGTAGAGTGTTGTGAGTTAGTTTGCCTTTTCAATTTTTGTGTTAAAAGATGAACTAACCCTTTAAGTTTTCAATAACTGTGGCAGAAGCAGGTGTGGACTAACAACTCATGGGGCCCCCGGGCAATAGGGGATTATAGGGCCCCTGTGTCCTTGCCCAAACTCAAAAAAGCCTATGAAAAAGGTACCAGGGGCATCTCATGGGGCCCCCTACTGACCCCAGGCCCTCTGGCAGTGCCCCAGTTTCCAAATGGTCAGTCCACCCCTGGGCAGAAGTAGGTATGGGTGATTCTATTTGGGAATCAAAATTCCTTTTTTGTCAGTGGCCGCTAGCATTCCTGAGAATTGAAGATGCCCAGCACTTTCGGTTTACCCCCCTTAATGACCAGGCCTCGTTTTGATATTTGGCGCTACACTATTTCAACTGATAATTGCACGGTCATGCAATGCTGTAGCCAAACAAAATATACGTCCTTTTTTCACACAAATAGAGCTTTCTTTTGGTGGTATTTCATCACCCAGGCGCGCTTTATTTTTCATGCTATAAACAAAAAAAGACTGAAAATTTTGAAGAAAAGCGATATTTTTTAATTTCGGCTATATAAAATATATAGTAAACTCAAACTTAGTCGTAAATGTAGGCCAAAATGTATTCTGCTACATGTCTTTGGTAAAAAAAATCCCAATAAGTGTATATTGATTGCTTTGTGTCACAGTTATAGCATCTAAAAACTATGGCATAGATACTGCAATTTATGCCATTTTTTTTTTTTGCTATAAAGCGCTGCACTAGTTTAACTGACAATTGCGCGGTCATGCAATACGGTACATAAATGAAATTTATGTAATTTTTTCACACAAATAGAGCTTTCTTTCGGTGGTATTTGATCACCTGTGCATTTTTTATTTCTGGCGCTATAAACAATAAAAGGTTTGAAAAACAACAATATTTCTCATTTCTGTCATAAAAAAATATCCAAAAAACTCAAATTTTATCATAACTTTAGGCCAAAATGTATTCTGCTACATGTCTTTGGTAAAAAAAAAAATCCCAATAAGTGTATATTGATTGCTTTATGTGAAAGTTATGGTATAGATAATGGAATTTACACAGCTTTTAGTTTCTGACCGGCCATCACATCTCTTGAGGTGCTAAAATACCAGGGCAGTACAAATACCCCCAAATTACCCCTTTTTGGAAAGTAGACACCCTAAGCTATCTGGTGAGGGGCACATGGAAGATTTTTTTTTTTTGTTATTTTCCAAAAACTTGTGGTAAAAAAATTAATTTTTCTATTGACTCAACATGGCTCTCAGCAAATAGTTTGGGGTGTCTAATTTCCAAAAAGGAGTTGTTTTGGGGGGTGGGAGCATTTTATGCCCAGCATTAGAAGTTTATGCCACACATCATTCACTCTTCTAACTACCTGAAGACCAAGCCTTTTCTGACACGTGAAAAAAAATAAATCTGTATTTTTTGCTAGGAAATGACTTTGCTTTAAAAAAATATATCATGTTTGAGGGTTCAGACATGCTAGTGAATAAAATGGTGGGTGCTGCAATTTTTTATGTCACATAGTACTCCCGCAGCGATTTTTTCAAACGCAAATTTTTTTTAAAAAAATACACTTTTTTTACTTTTAATGCACAAAAACACAATATATTGGCCAATTATTTGGTAAAATATCAAATATGATGGTATGCCAAGTAAATAGATACCAAACATGACATGCCCCGTGCAATGGCAACAAACTGCATACATTTTTAATATCCATAGGCAACGCTTTAAAAGTCTTTACAAGCTACCATTTTAGATTTACAGAGGAGGTCTAGTGCTAGAATTACTACTCTTGATCTGACATTCGCAGCGATATGGTCTCGCAGGTGCATGGGGGGGGTGGAGAGGCTTCTCAACAACACCAGCTACCGTGGAAATTTAGATGGTCATGTCTGCATGAATGGAAGACAGGGTGAAAACATGCAGTTTGTCCTTCCACTTCACTGCGAACAATTCATCATTTTTCACGTAGGATTTTTCCCCGTTTCTAAGATGGGTATTTGCAAGCCGTTGCGATTATGTCACACGGTGCCACATGTGCCAATTTTAAGATTGTATAAATGTCTAAATAGTGGCACACTTGTATAAGAATTCTCCACGTATAAAGTGGTACCTGATATGGAAAAAGGGTGACACCAAGTCCCAAACTATCTTGCCACTGCTCCCCATGTAGTCTGGGCACCCGGGGGGCTCCACGTGACTATCTTTTCCCTCGTAAATCCGAAACTTATTTGTATACCCTCTCACAGGTCTTATACATCTTGACCCCATATCTGGCACTGGCGCTTGTTGGGGGAATATGGTTTGAATGCAAGGCGGCCAGAAAAATTAATGAGGGACTCAATGCAGAATTTTTGCTGGGGAGTATAGACATCTGCAAATTTTTGGTTAAGGTGATTTAGGAGGTACGGAATTTTGTATAGCCGGTCAAATTCAGGGTCATCCCAAGGAAGACAGAGTGTATTGTCGTTGAAATGCATAAAACACATTATACTCTCATATTTATGTCTGGCCATGGCATCAGAGAACATGGGCATATGATGAATCGGGTCTGTGGACCAATACAATCGCAATTCATTGTTTTTAGTAATACCCATGTTGAGGGTTAGGCCCCCAAATTCGGGATTTAAATTTGGAAACCTTAATTATTATTATACAGTATTTATGAAGCACCAATAGTTCGCTCAGCGCTGTACATTACAAAGGGGGACAGAACATGTGACAGAACAATAACAATACAATGTAAAACAAGAGGGGATCGAGGGCCCTGCTCTTTCGAGCTTACAATCTAGGAGGGAGGGGATGGTGGCACAGGAGGAGAAAGCTGTGGGGGATGGAATGGTAGGAAGAGTGGAGGGGGTCGGCAAGTTAGCAGGGGGGGGGGTAGGCTTCCCTGAAGAGGTGGGTTTTCAGGGTGCGCCTAAAGGAGAGGGGAGTAGGTGATAATCTGAAGGGTTGGGGCAGGGAGTTCCAGAGGATGGTTGACATCCTGGAGAAGTCCTGGAGGCAGGCATGGGAGGAGGAGACCAGGGAACTAGAGAGAAGGAGGTCTTGTGAGGAGCGGAGAGTGCGTGTGGGTGATACTTGGATATTAGGTCGGTGATGTAGTTCGGGGGAGTATGGTGGATGGCTTTGTACGTCAGTGTTAGGATTTTGAATTTGATTCGTTGCGCAATCGGAAGCCAGTGGAGGGATTGGCAGAGGGGGGTGGCGGAAACGGAGCGGTTGGAAAGGTGAATGAGTCTGGCAGCCGTATTCAGGATCGACTGAAGTGGGGATAGCCTGTGGCGAGGCAGGCCAGTGAGGAGGGAGTTGCAGTAATCGAGTCGTGATATGATGAGGGAGTGGATGAGCTGTTTAGTGATTTCTTGGGTTAGGAACGTGCGTATTTTGGCGAGGTTGCGGAGGTAGAGTCTGCATGAGTTTTTTAAAGATTGGACTTGGGGCTGGAAGGATAGGTTGGAGTCCAGAATGACACCAAAGTACTCTGGCCTGTGTGGCGGGTTTGATGGTGGCGTTGTTGGACATGATGGAGAAGTCAGTGGGGGGTGGGGTCCGGGCTGGGGGGAAGACAAGAAACTCGGTTTTGGAGAGGTTCAGTTTAAGGAAGTGGAGTGACATCCAGTCTAAAATGTCGCTCAGTAGGTGTGTGATTCGGGCGGAGACTGAAGGGGTGAGGTGGGGGGTTGAGAGATAGATTTGTGTGTCATCGGCATATAGGTGGTAGTTGAAGCCGTGAGAGTGTATGAGTTGGCCAAGGCTTCCTCTGATTGGCTGGAGGTGGAGAGGTTGGCAAATTACATCACCTCCACTTCAGCCAGAGGAAGCCTTGTATTCGTTCATAAAATACAAAATTCCTTTGAATGGCTGAGCAGCGCCAAGCCCAAATTGATTTTCTTCTGGGAGTGGAAGAGGAAGTGCCGTTCTGTTGCCAAAGCACAGCTGAGGCTACAAACAGTTCATACCGCTGCTGAATGTCCAAACAAACTATTTAAAGTTAACTAAAACATTGAGTTTTAAACACTGGCTCAGCTGATATGGTCAGTGTTTTAATATGGTTGAATATTGCCATATGTGCAATGGGAACAACCAACTCCTCAAATGGGTATTGGTCTTTAACCACTTGCCTACCAGGCACTTATACCCCCTTATTTACCAGGCCAATTTTCAGCTTTCAGCGCTGCCGCACTTTGATTGACAATTGCGCGGTCATGCAACATTGTACCCATATTAAATTTTGATCGTTTTTTTTTCTCACAAATAGAGCTTTCTTTTGGTGGTATTTAATCACCACTGGGCGCTTTACTTTTTGCGCTATAAATAAAAAAGTTGCAAAAAATTTGAAAAAAAAAAAAAAAGTTTCTTTGTTTCTATTATAAAATTTTTCAAACAGGTAATTTTTCTCCTTCACTGATGTGCGTTGATGAGGCAGCACTGATGGGCACTGATAGGCGGCACTGATGGGCACTGATAGGTAGCACTAAAGGGCACTGATAGGCAGTACTAATGAGGTGGCACGGATAGGCGGCACTGATAGAGAGCACTAATGAGGTGTCACGGATAGGCGGCACTAATATGCAGCACTGATAGGCGGCACTGATAGGTGACACTGATGATGGGTACTGATATATGGCACTGACTGGCATCACTGCTGGGCACTGACTGGCGGCACTGACTGGCACAACCGCTGGGCACTGACTGGTGGCACTGACTGGCAGCACTGCTGGGCTGCACTGGTGGGTGGCACTGGTGGGCAGCACTGGTGGGTGGGCACAGGTGGGTGGCACTGGTGGGCACAGGTGGGTGGCACTGCTGGGCACAGGTAGGTGGCACTTCTGGGCACAGGTGTGTGACACTGCAGAGTGGCACAGGTGGATGCACTGCTGGGTACAGGTGGGTGCACTGCTGGGCACAGATGGGTGATCTGCTGGGCACAGGTGGGCGGAGTTAGTAGTGGGCGAACTGCTGGGCACAGGTGGGCGGAACTTGCGGGTGGCACTGCTGGGCACCGATCATCAGGGCACTGATCATCAGTGCCCTGATGATCGGTGCCGATCCTCGCTCTGACAACTGCCGGTTCTCGGCAGTACTTTCCTCACGATCTGACAGCGTGAGGAAAGTGCAGCCGAGAACCGGCACTTGCATTTCCCTCTGATCAGCGTGTCATTGGACACCGCTGATCAGGTGGTAAAAGGCCGCTGTGATTGGCCTTTTACCACATCACGTGATCAGCTGTGTCCGTAGGACACAGCGATCATGGAGATCGCCGGGGTGCGCGCCCCCTGGGGCGCGCAGGAGAGCGCGTTCTGGTGGGACGTCATATGACCTCCACCCAGAACTGGCCGGCCACAGTGCAGCCGTCATTCGGCTATCTGCAGTCGGCTACTAGTTAAAAGATAAGTTCATCTTTGGGAAAATGTTACATGTTTCCACCCATTGCCGCCCACTGCTCCCCCCCCCCACCTTGACAGAAATATGGGGAGAAGTTCCCCGTTCTGTCAGAATTTAAAACAGCATGGGCGTGCGGGGCTCTGCCCACACGGCCACCTCATTCATTCACAGTTTTGTGAATGAATGAACTGCAAGACCCATAATATTCAATTAACTACATCCCCTACGGGCAAGCAGATATATTGACTAATCTGCAGGATACCTGCATGGCACCAGCGATCTGCTAATTGCTGGTGCAAAACTTTACAGGCTCCTGCAGACAAAATTAATAAATGCAAATTTTTGTACCTTCAAAAAAAGTGCATTTATTATTTTTGTGCAAAAGGTGAACACTCTTTAAAAGGTTTTTGAAGAGTGAATATTTTATCCGGAGTTTTATATAACATCTTCAAATAAGCAGTGTACCGGGAAAGTCTTGGGGCCTCTCAGGGTCCTAGACTAGTAGAAACTACAGGCTGTTTAATTTTCAAAGTAGTATCGCCAGAAAGATTTCATGTTCTTTACATCCCCCAGGGGACAAATTGCATGTAGCACTTTGTCCTGTTTTGATAAGTGCTTTGATTGCTAAAGCCTGGTACACATGGGCCAAATATCGACCAGTATTGGCCAGTCCAACAGAGACTACAAACTCGTGCAGACTCCACCTCCGCAACATCGCCAAAATCTGCACGTTCCTAACCCCAGAAACCACTAAACAGCTCATCCACTCCCTCATCATATCACGACTCGACTACTGCAACTCCCTCCTCACTGGCCTGCCTCGCCGCTGGCTATCCCCACTTCAGTCGATCCTGAATACGGCTGCCAGACTCATTCACCTTTCCAACCGCTCTGTATCCGCCCCCCCCTCTGCCAATCCCTCCACTGGCTTCCGATTGCGCAACGGATCAAATTCAAAATCCTAACGCTAACGTACAAAGCTGTCCACCATACTGTCCCGAACTACATCACTGACCTAATATCCAAGTACCGCCCAGCACGCACACTCCGCTCCTCACAAGACCTCCTTCTCTCTAGTTCCCTGGTCTCCTCCTCCCATGCCCGCCTCCAGGACTTCTCCAGGGTGTCACCCATCCTCTGGAACTCCCTGCCCCAACCCATCAGATTATCACCTACTCTCCTCTCCTTTAGGCGCACCCTGAAAACCCATCTCTTCAGGGAAGCCTACCCCACCCCCTGCTAACTTGCCGACCTCCTCCACTCTTTCTACCACTCCATCCCCCACAGCTATCTCCTCCTGTGCCACCATCCCCTCCCTCCTAGATTGAGATTGTAAGCTCAAAAGAGCAGGGCCCTTGATCCCCTCATGTTTTGCATTGTATTGGTATTGTCCTGTCACATGTTCTGTCCCCCTTTGTAATGTACAGCGCTGAGCGAACTATTGGCGCTTTATAAATACTGTATAACAATAATAATAATAATTATTATACAGTATTTATAAAGCGCCAATGGTTCGCTCAGCGCTGTACATTACAAAGGGGGACAGAACATGTGACAGAACAATACCAATACAATGCAAAACATGAGGGGATCGAGGGCCCTGCTCTTTTGAGCTTAAAATCAAGGAGGGAGGGGATAGTGGTACAGGAGGAGATAGCTGTGGGGGATGGAGTGGTAGGAAGAGTGGAGGAGGTCGGCAGGTTAGCAGGGGGTGGGGTAGGCTTCCCTGAAAAGATGGGTTTTCAGGGTGCGCCTAAAGGAGAGGAGAGTAGGTGATAATCTGATGGGTTGGGGCAAGGAGTTCCAGAGGATGGGTGACAACCTGGAGAAGTCCTGGAGGCAGGCATGGGAGGAGGAGACCAGGGAACTAGAGAGAAGGAGGTCTTGTGAGGAGCGGAGTGTGCGTGCTGGGCGGTACTTGGATATTAGGTCAGTGATGTAGTACGGGGCAGTATGATGGATGGCTTTGTACGTCAGTGTTAGGATTTTGAATTTGATCCGTTGCGCAATCGGAAGCCAGTGGAGGGATTGGCAAAGGGGGGTGGTGGAGATGGAGCGGTTGAAAAGGTGAATGAGTCTGGCAGCCGTATTCAGGATCGACTAAAGCGGGGATAGCCAGCGGCGAGGCAGGCCAGTGAGGAAGGAGTTGCAGTAGCCGAGTCGTGATATGATGAGGGAGTGGATGAGCTGTTTAGTGGTTTCTGGGGTTAGGAACGTGCGTATTTTGTCGATGTTGCGGAGGTGGAGTCTGCACGAGTTTGTTAAAGATTAGACTTGGGGCTGGAAGGATAGGTTGGAGTCCAGAATGACACCAAGTACTCTGGCCTGCGGGGCGGGTTTGATGGTGGCGTTGTTGGATGTGACGGAGAAGTCAATGGGGGGTGGTGTCCGGGCTGGGGGGAAGACAAGAAACTCGGTTTTGGAGAGGTTCAGTTTAAGGAAGTGGAGCGACATCCAGTCTGATATGTCGCTCAGTAGGTGTGTGATTCGGGCGGAGACCGAGGGGGTGAGGTGGGGGGTTGAGAGATAGATTTGTGTGTCGTCGGCATAGAGGTGGTAGTTGAAGCCATGAGAGTGTATGAGTTGGCCAAGGGAGGAGGTGTAGATGGAGAAGAGAAGGGGCCCGAGGACAGAGCCTTGAGGGACCCCAACAGAGTGGGGGAGTGAGGGGGAGGTGGTAGCATTATAGGTAATGCTGAAAGAGCGTTGTGACAGGTAGGATGAGAGCCAGGAGAGAGAGCAGAATCTCTGAGGCCGAGGGAGTGTAGTTTTTTGAGGAGGGGGTGGTCGACTGTCTCGAAGGCCGCAGAGAGGTCAAGGAGTAGGAGCACTGAATAGTGGCCATTAGCTTTGGCGGTTAGCAGGTCGTTGGAGAGTTTGAGTAAGGCAGTTTCGGTGGAGTGTAGGGGACAGAAGCCGGACTGTAGGGGATCGAGGAGGTTGTTGTCGTTGAGGTTAGAGCTTAGGTGGGTGTAGACTAGGCGCTCGAGGAGTTTAGATGTAAATGGGAGCAGGGAGATGGGTCTGAGGTTGTTCGGGTCATTGGGGTCCAGGGAGGGCTTTTTAAGTATGGGGGTGATGTGTGCATGTTTCAGAGGGGAGGGGAAAGTGCCGGAGGAGAGGGAGAGATTAAAGATGTGGGTGAGGGAGCGTAGGATGGAGGGAGGTCGTAGGAGTTGTGAGGGGATAGGGTCGAGGGGGCAGGTGGTGAGGCGGGCATCAGAGAGGATCTTGGAGACTTCCTCGATGGTAGTAAGGTCAAAGGTGCAGAGTGTTGGGGGGGGCTTCAGTATGAGGAATGTAGGGTGGGGTGGAAGTGGAGGTCAGAGCAGTAGTGGGGCTGTGGGAGAGGGGTGATGTGAGGGTAGTTGAGTGAGGGGGAATGGGGTTGGAGGGAGTTTGAGCAGCGACGAAGACCCTGCGGGTTATGTCGAGGGAGAGGGGGGATGAGGGGGTAGCTGTGTGAGAGGGAACGGGTTGAGAGGGCGTGTGAGTTGCGGCGATGTCCTTGCGAATTGTGTCAATCTTGTTTTTGAAGTGATTGGCAATCTCAAGGGCAGTGAGTGAGGTGCTGGGTGGAGGTGGGGGGGTGGCGAGAGTAGAGAGTTGAAGGTAGAGAAGAGTCGGCGAGGATTGGAGGAGAGGGCCTTGATGAGGGTCAGGAAGTAGGCTTGTTTGGCTGCGTGGAGGGAGGAGGTAGGTATAGGTGTGGAAGGCAGATTTGTAGCGGGTGAAGGCTTGTTGGGATTTGGTTTTGCGCCATAGTCGCTCCAGGGCACGACTGTGTCGTTTGAGGGTTTTGGTGTGATCAGTCTGCCAGGGCTGGAGTGGTCGGGGTCTGATGTTGCGTGTGGTAAAGCTGCTAGTGAGTCAAGGGCTGTTGACAGCGTGTTGTTGTAGGCAGTCATAGCCAAGTCGGGGCAAGACAGGGTGAGAATGCTGTCGTGGAGTTGATCAGCTGCAGAGTGGAGGGGGGGCAGGGTTAAGGTTGCGGCTGTTACGGCTCGTAGTAGTGTGACATTTGGAGGGGTAGGCGTTGGAGGACGAGGAGATAGAGAAGGTAATCAGATTGTGGTCAGAGAGAGGGAAGGGGGTCTTAGTGAGGATGTGGGGAGCGCAGCGGTTGGAGAAGACAAGATCAAGGATATTACCGTTGGAGTGGGAGGTGGATTGTATGCACTGTGCAAGTGCAAAGGAGGAGGTTAAGTGGAGGAGATGGGATGTGTCCGGATTGTCGAGGTTGACAGGGATGTTGAAATCCCCAAGGATGATGGTGGGTAGCTCAGAGGAGAGGAAGAAGGGTAGCCAGGAGGAAAAGTCATCCAGGAAGCGGGATATGGATCCAGGAGGCTGGTATATCACAGCAATCTTCAGGGGGGTTGGGGAGAATAGTCGGACGCAGTGAGCCTCGAAGGAGGAAAAGGATAGGGAGGGGGGGTTTGGGAGGACTCGGAAGGTGCTCTGCGGTGACAGGAGCAGACCAACCCCACCACCTTTACGACCGTTAGGCCTGGGTGAATGGGTTCAGGTGAGACTTCCGTAGGAGAGAGTGCAGCAGGGGAGGTAGAGTCAGTGGGCTGGATCCAGGTTTCTGTGATCGCTAGGAGGTTGAGGGAGCCGGAAACAAAGAGGTCGTGGATGGCGGTAAGCTTGTTGCACACCGATCGGGCGTTCAGGAGTGCACATGAAAACAGGGGGGAGATTTTAGGGAGCAGGGGAACAGATACTAAGTTATGGGGGTTGCGGCAGGATGT